CACGCATGACGTCACCGTTGGTGGATCTCCGACCCGACCCCAAGCGGCATAATGCCAAAACTCGACTAGATCGTCTTGGCGTCGCCCCGCTCTCTGCAAGACCCGTTCGCGGCGACGCTGACGCAAGTTAGGCTGCGCTGCGTTGATCCACCGGTGATGACGTATAAGAGGAAAAAGCACAGGCCGTGTCTCTTATGGTGAATTCCGCTCGCAGATCTCGAGCGCTCCAAAAGCGCTCCATTTGGAGCGCGCATATTCCGCTCGCAGATCTGGCTCGAGCTGGTCATCTTCCACTCGTAGATCTCTGGCAGCGCCCGCTCTACGGAGCGCCCCAAACCCCGCCGAACTTGCTCTGCGGGATTCCACAGATCTCTCCGGAAATTGGCAGAGCGGCCCACGTGATTTCCGTCTAAATCGGCAGTGCGCATGCGCGCCGCGCGGCGAGGTTGGAGAGGTCGGCGGGCCGGTCGGGCCGTTGAGGTGGATCTGTGCGGGTGGGTCGGTTGTTTACGCGGGATTGTGACGGCTCGAACGCTTCTACGTCGCGTAGATCAGGGATGCAAAGCCGGGACTGTGGAGCGTGGTAAATCGTAAGCGCTGACATCTGTGATCGTGAGAGGAAGAACGACAGAAAAGCCGGAGGCAGACGCAAGGTTAGGCCTGTTCATTCTGCAGCCTATGATTGTTTACCTTTTTACACTGCATTCCGCCGGCGTTTTCCCGTGAAATAAAGAAAGAAGGGATTAGGCAACGACAGCGCAAGTGATGGTTTCTTATCTCTGTGTTTATTAAAGTCGTACCAGAAATGTGAACTCCACCGCTGGCAATTGCTGTCCGTGCCCCGCCGCTTCGAGGCGGCCGAAAGGTATGTGACGGTGCCGAAAGCGGACGTATCCGTGATTTGTAACATGGGCGCTGTAGTGCGTATAATTTCACCCGGCCTGTGTCGCGTGTTATTTCTGCAACTAAGCAGTGACAGTCGTCACTGGTCGTCGGAAAGATCAGTCGGCTGAAGCGTTGGTGGGCTTGCCAAGTTCGAGCAGCGGCCATTTTGAACGGCGGCGGGGGAAGCGGTGGGAAGGGGTGTGGGGGAGGTCGCTCCAAAAATGCAAGTTTATCTTCCCCTCGTCGATTCGGAGCGGGTCCCACGGAGCGGAATTTTGCCTCCCTCGCGGATTTTGGGAAGCGCTCCGGATCTACGAGTGGAATTCACCATTAGATGGAATCGACAGAGCGCGTCCTTAAAGACGAACCGAAATGCATTTTTTCTTCTTTTCTTTTCCGGATCTTTGGCTACGATAAGAAGTTTGTCGATATTTATCGACAGCCATTGCTCTCTCCCGATGCCCGGTTCAACCGGGCCATTCTTCTTCTTTCGCTTTGCGGCGATCAGCTCGGATACTCGAACTTGAACTTGAGAACCCGGGCGGGACGGTCTTTAGCTACATTTACGGCCTCGGAGTGGCGTGACCTGAATGCTGCACAGCGGCAAGACGCGTATGTATACTGTGGGCAGGTTGCCTTGTCCCCCTCTGCCGTCTCCGCCGAGAAAACGGGCAGTCGCAGCTCCAGAGCTTCTCGATGAAGAGAGTATTCGCGTTTGATGAACTCGAGCGGAACTGCTACGTCACTCAGCATAAAGTCGCATTCACGCCGCTTACACATCATTCAAAACGCAGCCTGCAGACACCGTCTGAGGAATGTTTCTTCCTTTGTAAGGATGTATACAGCAGCGTAACAGCGGCTTTACAGCCGCGTCGCACGCTCGAAAAGAAAAAGAAGGGTCTGTGAGGCCACGTTCCTGCCAAACACGAGACAACAAATCACGACGCACAATACCTGGACCCCAGCGAATGACGAAGCTGACAATACGATTAGACCCAAAATTGCGACGCGCGGCAAGGACCTTCCACATGACGTTTTATTTCGGCACAGTCCCGCTGACATCGCATTTTTTTAATCCTAATCGTATTTGCTTTGTATAGCTTTGTCATTATCTTGGACCTTTCCATTGGTAAGCGCATTTCGTTTCTTTTTTTTTTCTGTTGTGACAAATGAATTTATATACTTCTTTTTTTTTTACAGCGTAGCTTTAAGGGCTAGTTTCCCCAGGATCATGTCCTCCGCAAGGAAATGAAGACACGAAACTCTGGACACCTACCGCCATCTATCTGGTTGCCGCCGTCGCTCATAGATGGCGGCAGAATTTGCACTGCACTTTCCGTTGTACAACTCCGCTGGTCTTCCTTCTTCACCAGAGTGGAAAAGCTAAAAGTGTGTTTTTTTTTTTGTTTTTTTTTTATTATTTTTTTATGCATCAGAATAGAACGTTCCTCTTGACGAATACCCGGCGGAGTCTCTCGTCTGCCAGCGCCGGTGAGAGAGGGAAAAGGAGGGGGAGAGGGTAACTCGCGCGACACTCCCATTAACCCGGAGCGCTGACGTCAGCAGGCGTCACCCTCTTCCCCTCTCCCCAACGCTGACAAACTGACAGACACCGTCGGGTTTTCGTCCGAATGAGCCCTTTGGTTTTCGGCAGTCACGCGCACAGCTGGCGCGGAGCCAGAGAGTAGGAGACGATGCGCAACACCTTCCAGATAACAAAACCGTAGTGCTGAATGAGATGGCTTAATCAGAGAAGGCCAACGCTAGACAAAGATTGGAAACGAGTGCTGCGTCAGCGCTCGGCTTCGAGTCAAGTTTGAGCCGAACGTTGACGCAATCGTCGTGTCCAATCTGTGCCCAGCGTTGGCCTTCTCTGATGACTGCATCTCATTCAGCACTACGGCTTTCTTATTCTATGTGTTGCGCCGCGGCGCTGTGCAATCCGGGCGTGCTCAGTTGCCTCTGTGCCGTCGCCGGTTGTTCTTCGCTCTGGGTTTCCCTAGTAGCGGTGCGTGTGCTGTGATGTATGTGTGTGTATTTAAAACGATAAATGCTGTTCACTCCGCGAGTGATATGGATGCGGTTCCTCCCACGAGTGGTATGGACGTGATTCCTTCCACGAGTGATATAGATCACCGAATTAGAGGACGTCACGTACTCTGACAGGCAGAGTACAGACATAGCCTCCTCTATGGTACAGAAAAGCGGTGAACAAAATTGCAGGAAGATCTATTGGTGGCTTTTTAGGAAACCTGTTAGCGTGACCTTTGGGAAACCCCACACACTTGCTTCTTTGGGAAACGCTAACGCTGACCCCGTAACGAGGCCAAAAAGGGACAGAAAAGGAAAAGCAGAGAAAGCAAAAGAGAAAGCCAAACGAGAAAAGTGAAGGTGTCAGTGTTGGCGTTTCCAAGGGTCGTGCTAACGCATCCCGAAGAATTCACCAATGGATCTTCCTGTAATCTATTTCGAGTTCGCGACTGGGCGTGTCATTAATTGTGATCTTCCGTATCAGAAAGCGATAGCCTTCGGTATAGACTTACACACATGGACCCCTGCTTGCATCGCAAGCGACTTCCGGCTGCTCCGTCTTTGCAAGCCTGCGAAACTTGCTTATGTGACCTGTGCTAGAAAGCGTAAATGCTGCACATACAGCAAAGTTGGAGATTTAATGAGGACCTTCGTCTGTACGATTTAACGTCTTGGAAGAAACAAGTTGGTTTACGATAATATTCGAAACATTTAGAGAGATATCATGCTTGTTTGTTTTGGCGATCGCCTGGAGAATCGGTGATTAGATGTTTCATCGGCGTTTCAAACTGTGGTTAAGGAGGGCTTTGTTCATTTGTAGGAACCAGAAGTTCACTCTGACGTCAAAGAAGGGAGCACTGTCTGGTGGCTTTTGCAAAAAAAAAAAAAAAAGAATCTATACCATTTATATGTGGTCAATAGAGCGCGAGCATTTTTTTTCTCCGGTTCCCCAAAATCAGCCAGCGCGAAGAGTCATGTTGCGCTAGGAGTTGGCGCAACAGAAGAACCTGTTGCGCCAACTTGTCCACAAAGTCACCGATATCTTAAGAAACACCTGGACGTGGTGAGGACCCAAGCACCTTATAATCGCTCCGCAGTCAATCAGATTATTACTTCAGTCACGCTTCCGGTTTCTTAAGTTGCCGGTAATACCAATCTTCACCACTGATCAACGCGTCACTTAAGAAAAGCTTATTTTTTCCTTTTTTGTGTAAAGTTTTTCAAAAAAAAGAAAGAAAAAAGCTCTTTGTTAACAAGGTGGATATTAACCGCCTACACCTTAAGTTTATTGCAAACATGTTGATAGTGTCTTAGGTCTGGTAACGATTTTACAACCACTATGTACACAATTTGCTGCCACACAGCATGGTTACAACACTTGGAGACTGGAATAAAATCATGTACTGGTTTGGCACCGTCGGATTTGTAGCACAGTAGTGGCACGTGTCACCGGTACCCACCATGCATCAACCCTCGGAACACAAACCGGAAACGAAAAGAAACCCAAACGGCCGAGATGACCTTTGAAATCATAGTTCCCAATTCAGATTGAGGACGGCAGAAAGGTCTTTCGGTTGTTTTACCCCAGAGCGCGAGCTTCCTGTCTTCGATAACGTTTCGTGTTGTTGTGAGCTTCGAGCACGCAACCACATGCCCGACGGCACGGCAACGATCGCGGGACTGGGTATATCCAAAAGAGACAGCCTGCCGTTTTCATCCTGCCAGTGAACAAACCGATTACTCGAATACTCTTTTAGAAGCTTTGGCAGGTCTAGAACGTCGCAGCACTGACCCATCTCTTATGTGCTCTCCTCCAAGCCCAAGTCACCCTGCTCGTATATCATGCAAAAGACACGGAGTTTCTCAGCAAACATGATGAAAAATTGTCTGCGGACACGCCTCACGCATGTTGTAGGCATGTTTGCTTTATACACATGCTTCCAACATGTCTGCAGTCAGTCCTTGCATGACCAACGTAACAGGACCTCATGCAAGAAACAGACACGTATGAGACAGTGTCTGCGCACAATGGATTAAGTGGACAACCTTGTTTCAGTAAAGAGTATTGGGAGGGCCCTACTTACTTGGTAGAAATAGAAGAGTTCCAGCTCAGGTTCCGATGTGGCGTTTCCGGAGGTTGTGTTCATTGTGCCGTCGACGGCGGTCACCTCCGTCGCCATTGGTGTTTCCTTCTGGACTTCGTATTTGGGTTCTCGTGGCACAGGCGATGCCATTCGGCGGTGGATGCACGGATATGACACAACTCGCGACGAGTGGTTCACGGTTACGCGAGTTTGCACGAGCAGAGAACGACGCCTTCAACAGCGACGACGGTTGGGTAGCCTCAGGGTGTGAAGAAGGCGAGTAGAACCGTTTCCAAGTGGACTCTGGTCGGGGCTCTTGCGGAACATCAGGATTACCGCAGGATTCACTCGATGAGTATCAAGTGGTGGCCGTTGAATGTCAATTATCCTGGTCAGTTTGTTCAAAACTTGAAAGAGGCATTTCATTAAGAACGCAACTTCAAGTCGAAAGTGCCATTGACGACAGCTGGGGTCCTGAGAAAAAAACTTTGCTTTTCCTTTCTAGTAAGTTCATAAAACGATTTCGAACGGTGTATTCCTGTGCGACGCACGTGTGACAATAAAAAGCACCCCAAATCACTCGGAGCATTAACGCGATTCACAACCGGCGAAACGTTTCACCATCTGTTTTTTCTTGAGCTGCATCTTGTAAGTGAGACTTAAGACGACTAGGAAAGCGTTCGTTCGAAAATGGCAGCGGTACCGGCCGCATCTATACTAAGGTGTCACTTGGAGCTAGAGGAAGGAAGTGTCCGCCAATTAGCAAGATACGCATTTTTAGTCACAAGAAAGGGACATGCACCAATGTTTCATCTGGGCACACGCACCAAGAAGTATTACGAACAAGATGTCAAGCTCCAGCTGCCTCACCACTCGAGCGCTTTGTTCTAAGAGGGGAGGGCGTACCCTACAAGAACCATCACACGCACGCTCAATTCGCAACCAAAAGAGGCCTCCTAAATGTAGGTCACTTTCGTCAAAATATACGCTTATATCGTCTTGCCGTCTGTAAGAATCTAACAAGAATTCGGGCAAGGACCGAATCAGTCCTATACCCAAGTTGTTCAACAACCAACAAGAAATCGCCTCAAGGGTCACAGATGTGCTGAAGACTACGGATACCTCCCTTGGGAGCACAAAAACCTCGCAAGACGCTTCCGGTTCATTCTGAGTTCCCATCCAAAGACACCTCTACGGATGATGTCAGATACTCGAAGAGAGGCGTTGGACATTGCGTAAATGGCTAGAGGGTCGTGCCATGCCAGTTCTTCGACATACATTCTTGATGCGGTTACACGTGGTAGTCCTGGAGCGGCGGTAGGGTGATCTTCGGCGTGGTGTCTCCCGTGATTATGTACATGGAATGCGTTGATGAGTGGTACTCACGCGTATGGTAAACTCACAGGCGTGACACTCGCACTCAAAAGTCCGCGAGCGAAGCGCAGGCACGCGGCACGAGCATTGCTCACCGGCTCCCGCTCCTCTCAGGAGCGCGTGCAGAGTAACTCAGCTCCGCGAGCCATCTGTCCCACGGACGGACGATCAGAGAGCACGTTTCCCGCCGGAAGGAAAAAAAAAAAGAGCGAGCTCTGCGGTCAGCGCCATCTATGATCGATGTCGAGAACCGGCGCTGCGCTCCTCGTTCTCTATTGGAACGAAAACCGAATTCCTCGCGAACGGCTTACGCGAAGTTCCGCGGTCAAAATAAACGAGCCACAACAAACTCCACGAGGCGGCATAAGCGTGCATTCTCCGAATGCCAAGGAGGCCAAGGACTCCACGTTGGGCGCCACATTTGTAACCTCCAAGAAAAAAAAAAATTTTAATAAGCTTACCTTTGACGCGCAAGGAGCACCCTTGTTTATGGATCCGTTTAGTCTAATTTAGCGGAATCTAGAAGATGACATCTCAGCGATAGGCGCTTGAAAGCGATCGTGTTTTTTGTTAACGAGCATTGACATGTCTTTCTTAATAGTTCCGGAGTTTGCTGAATGTTCAGCTCCTCAATTCTCGTGGGGTCCTTGATCTTGCTGCTGATCACAATTCAAATAAATGTTCTAGAGTAAAGCTTAGAGTGCCCAGAACAAGGTCAAAGAACCGGCAAAAAAAAGTTCTGGTTTCTTTGTCAAGGGTACGCGCCCTGATCTAACCCACTCCTCCTGCACTTTTGTTTGTTGTTGTTTCACCTACTAAGCACTAAGGGCGAGACGCAGGCACGATAAAAAAAAAAAAGAAAAGAAGCCAGACGCGTCGTAGGATCCGTCGAACATTTTGCCATGCATGTGCGCTGAAGTCACAAACCATCGGGTTTATAGAGGTCACAATACCGTGCCAAGACCGTTTCACACGGTGAAGTTTCTCGTCAATACCGATCTCACTAAGCGTTTCACGTAACTGTCTCTTAAAGGGAGGAAGGGGACAACGCACGAGACAGCTCGTGCAGACCCGCGGAGGGGTACTCGCGCTGGCAGAAAGACAACAATTCCAGCATAAATAAACTGGCTAATTAAATTAACCTACAAAAAAAAACAGGAACAGGGTAATGAATGACCACACAATCCGGGCGCCTTGCGTTGTCGCCAATCCTTACTCCGTCCCTGTTTTTTTTTGTTGTTTTTTTTTTTGCTTTTTTAGTTAGGTGTTTTGAACTCGTCTCCGACTGGTTTTGTTTATCGCGTTCAAACAAAAAGTCGTAATTTCGCCCACAATGTGCGAAGGAACAAAAGCGGCAGCTGTCGCACGGTCGCACGGTGCGGGTGAATGGTGGCGTCACGTATACCTGAGGACGGAGGTGCGACGCGGTTGATTCTCATAGCCGTCGTGGTTGGCGTCGTAGATGCCATTGACGACCGCCACCAGTGCTCGGTGATCCGTGAAGTGGGTAAGCGCGGTGCAAGTTTCTAAAGCCATCCAGCATTACGTGTAGCAACTGGATACTGCCCAAGTGGGATTTCGCATAACGCGAGTAATATTTGAGAACAAGTCTTTCGAGCAGACGACACGAAGATTCTTTCTCTGTCGCGCCATTCTTTGTGGGACGCCAGGGTTGCCCTCTCCCTTCTCTTCGTGCGAAACGACCGACGGGAAGTCCCGGCTTCCCTCTCCTCGCGCCAAGAGGGGAGAAAACGAAAGTTTTTCCATTCTTCGCCCGCGCGCCGCGAAGACAACCCACGAGGATGAAATCGCTAATTGTAGGCAGCTCATATCAGGAGCTTTAGGGGCGCCGAGACGACAGCGACACTCGCGTTTGCTCGTGTTGCGGTCGAAAAAGGGGTTTGAGCTATTTTCCGAAAAGCAAGACGGCCGCCACCATAATTGCTCTCAGTGGGAAATTTGCTTCGCTCGTCGCTGTAAACGTAGGACTGCTGGGACGATGATATTTGGAGGAGAGTGAGATGCTCACTAAGTTTGTGCACTAAGTGGGCCAAGTTTTATTAAGACAGCAGGTGTGAAAGTTATGGTTCGAACGAATAAAGGGATAAAGCTGTCAGGAATATCCAATATTGGACCCAAAATGTTGTGTTATAACCGGGCTGTGCGAAGTGCAGATTTGGACACAAATGTTCTTGGACATGACCGTAACTTGACACAACGGTTATGATACCAAAAATAGGTGGCATAGGAAAACCAGGTGGAAATTCGGTTTGGGCGGCGTAACTGAATGGCAAACGGTTTTGACCGTCAAGAGAATACCACTTGTCGTGGGAGATGGAGACTTTACAGGTAGGAAGGGACTAGTGGCACAAAACTTCAAATTCAAACAACTTTACGAAAGGTGGCTTCAAAGTTGAGAAAACCAAGTTGCCGGCCAACACACGGTTTGGCCGTCAAAGGCTTTTGCGGTCAGCTGTTGTGTAGTAACCTAGTTGTGCGAGGTGCTGATTTTCGGCACACAGGTACTTTGACAACCGTAACTTGACAAAACATTTATTATACCTAAACTTTTTGAACGGCGTAACTAAATGGGAACCGATTTTGACCGTCTAAGGCTGTCAAGAGTATACCACTCATCATGACCGGGAGATGCACACTTTACAGGTAGGAAGGGACCAGTGGGACGGTACTTCCAGTTCGAACAACTTTGCGATAGGTGGCTCTAAAGCCGAGAAATAAATTGTTTTCTACAAGACTCGGGGTGTCATCGTTCCCACATCCAAAAGGAGGCTGATAAAAAAAGAAAGCACCCCACATAAACTTTCATACTCAAACATCGATAATCCATAGATTCCAAGTTTCATTGTAGTTTTCCTTAGTCACTGTTTGTACCGTCCGAATTTTTCTTAATGAAGTACTGACTGCGTGCCATACTGGTCCGGAAATATCATCGACACGTACGATGGGGACGAAACGTCTTTGGAGGGCATTCCTTCAACAAAATTCGCTCTGCATACCCGCGAGTGTGGGATGGCATTTCAGTTCGAGCTGAGGTAAGCGTTACTGGTACGAAAACAAACGCAGAGTGCAAAGCGGCAGTGTAGAATATGTCAGCCGTGCCGACACAGTGGCAGACATGATCGGGGGACCAAACTTCTCGCGTCGTGCGGCACGGGTTCATCGTTGTCGCTCTCCCACAAAGCATCGGCGAGGTGAAAAACTGTGAAACTTCGTCCCCACGAGATACGACGCAGAACTATTGGAGCACTTAACAACGCAGCAGTTCATGCTGTCAACCCAGCGCAACCGCACCGCTCCGACTGTACGCGGCGTGGTTTCGTTTCGCTGGGGCTCTCACTGCCTGCCTTCGGTAACGGCCGCGCGGCGGCGCGCCGGTCGCGTCGCACGGAGTGTATAGGACCAGCCACCGGGATCGCGACATCCGACAGCATGACTCTCCGGTTTTTCTGACGTCATTTGTGGTTGCCACTTTGGGACCACCGCTTTCGAGGCATGAGCGAAATAGGACGCTACAACAGACTAATCAGAGACGCCTTCGAGGCACCGTACTTTTAGCACCGTAGTGAACCGACCAGCCCAACTCACCATTTTGTTACAATGCACTAACGATGATGAGATGCGCAATCATTGTCTTCTAGGTAATATTGGCTGTGCCCCCGGACTTTCGTTTTTTGCCGTACGAAACAGAAAATCGCTCTTCACATT